TTGTTGACCAAGCATCACAGCAAGGGGGGTATTGGCTTTCAATCCACTCCTGTGTCACCTCAAGCCATGTCTCACCTTGAACTGGCATCTGACTGTGCACATGGCTCTGTGTGTTCCAGCTGTCCTTGAAGTTGTCCGTCCTCACGAAGTTGATGTTGCCCTCTCCTCATCACAGAACACCGACCTTCGCTGTCCAGTGAAGGCCTCATAGGTAAAGAACCTTGGCGCCGTTGCCGTCGACGGAGTGTACAAGATCCTCCGAGGGGCATAGTGGTCTCTGCAGATCCATCCATTGATGTGGCCAAAACGCCACTCATCCGTCAGTCGACGATGGAGTCTGCTTGGGCTTCTGAGAGGTTCTCGAAGTCCTGAAAGAGGAAGTCGAATGCACTCGAAGCGACTGGCAGGCAGCTCCGGCATGTGCAAGTCCGCCATGAAGACCTCAGACTGTTTGCCACTAGCCACCTGGTCAATGAAGTCGACATACTCCGTCTCCATAACCTCACTGACATAGCTCACTGGCGCTCCCATCTTTTCTCGCATTCGACGGGCTTTCATCACTGCATCACGAACAGCTAGACGTGCACCACTCTTCATGTCCTTGAATGCAGCCTTCCTCAGGGTGCCAACTGAGAGCCTCACAGCGTCTGATCGTCGGTCTCGTTCAGCTGGTAGAACTGAGGAGTGAGTACCCAACCGTCCTGAGCTGAACGGGTGTGGGGGTTGAAGTGGGCGAAGTGGCCCTGCCCATCCGCCCTCATCTGGAGTCCCCAAGGCACTGGGTGAGGAGGAACCGCAGTCGGGACTGCTGCAGTTGGTCCTGTTGGTACTGATGCTGCTGTTGTGATCCCAAGCTGACTGTGGCGTCCGGGGTCGTCGACGCCGTCTTGGTTCTGGCTCGCCTGTGGGCTGGAGCCATGGGCTTTCCCCATCACTGCGTCCACCAGCGGCTTGATCTTCGCCTTCAGCTGCTCGATGGTGTCCTTGGGATCCACGACCACGTTCAACAGCACCGCCAACTTCACCAGGTCCCCCTTCGTTCGGGGCATTCCTCCTCGGGGTCCGAGAAGCTCCCGGGCGAGATCTTCTTTCCGGCCATCCAGCTCTGCGATGGCTTGGTGAGTTGCCTGAACTAGCGCGGCTTGCTGACGAGCTCGGGTTGGCTTCTTCAGAGCCTTGATTCCGAACATCACCGCCTCGTCCTCCATGAAGGCTTCCTCCAGTCCCATCCTCTGCCGAAGAACCTTGGCCTCGTTGAGGTGGACCAGGGTCATGTACTCCATCGCCTTCGGTAGGCAGCGCTTCGGCCACACATGCCGTTTCACCATGTCCTTCAGCTGAGCTTTCCACTCCTCCGAAGTTGTCACCACTGGCAAGGGCACCGGCATGTAGCGAAGGAAAGGTCGCTGAACCAGCCAAAGCATCACGCCCTTCCAATGCCATGTTCTCCTCGCCTGTAGTCGAAGTAGGAAGCGCTGCCATCGCGACACCAGTGGGGTGAGGACGTCGAAAGGGCTGGGCAGCATCTTCCTCAGGCATCCAGGCCTTGCTTGAGCTGAAGAACTCCGGGATGTAGTGCACATACATGTTCAAGTTCAGCATCACTCGAACGGTCGACAAGACGATTGCGTGCTTTCCATGAAACTCGACCTTCACATTGCACCTCACAACAACCTCCAACTCCTACGACATGCCACGACTGCGAAGTGAGCGTCGGCCACGAAGTGAGGGGCTTGGGGAGAAGGTTCATGGAAAAGTGTCCTGCCCTCATCTTGCTCAGGGGAATCCAACCATCACTGACATACCTCAGTTGCACCTTCTTGGAGGGAAAGTCCAAAGTAGCCCCTAAGCTCTCTAAGAAGTCCTTCCCAAGCAAGCACCCCAGTGAAGCACATGGGATCTCCGCCAACCAGAGGAGGACCACTTGGTTTTGCACCAGGACAGGAATCCTCAGCCTTCTTAGGCTTTCCAAGACACCGCCATTGCCAAACCTGAAGTAGTCTCGGCAAGGCTTCTCATCAACCAAGCTCCTGATGTGTTCCTCCAAGGCGTCCTTCATGTGAGCCAGCCACTCAGCTCCGGCGCAACTCCGATTACATGCGGAGTCCAAAGCCGCCACAAAGAGCTTGTCCGGGTCAAGGCCCACTGCACCGGCTGTGCTTGTCGAAAGAGCCTCAGACAAAGAGGAAACCACATGGATCTCGTGAATGGTAGGCTCCAAGTCAAAGGAAACATTCTGGGTCTGTGCCAACAAGTCAACCACATTCACCTCAGCACAGTGTGCGCTTCACTCCTGTAGTTCGAGGACTTTGGTGAAGTAGTCGATGAGGAAGTTCCAGGCTTCTGCATTGGTCTTGGGAACTTTGGCATCGTTCCTTTGCCAATGCTTTTGCCAGCTGCAGGGCATTCAGCATCACCTTGCCAGTGACCAGTCTGACCACAAGCAAAACACTTGCCATCCTTTTGGCTTGAGCCCGAACCTTTCTTACCACGACCTTTGCCTCCCTTGAAGCCAGTCGAACCAGGTCCACGAAAACCACGATCTCGCTTGAGAGCATTGATTTGCGACCTCGCTTCACGAAGGGTCACCAACGCCTCAACTGCACCTTCCACTTGCTCCTCTATGGCTGCAAGGTCATCATCGGCTTGTGAACCCTCAGCCAACTCATCGATCTCTGTCGCAAGGGCCTCAATGGTCTGTTGAAGTCCTTCAAAGCCAGCTAGGCTTTCAGCATCTGTCGCACCACCGTCATCCTCTTCAGCTGGAGGTTCTCCTTCCGCTTCAAAGGCCTCGTTCTCAGCCGTCACCTCGTCGTCATACTCAGTGACGTTGATCGAGCCACCAAAGCCTTTTCCGCCACGCCTCCAGGAAGGGGTAGAAGACGATGTAGTCGAAGGGAAACTCTTCCGAAACCTGGACAAAGTAGAAGCCGTCAAAGAAGGAGGTCGTTTAACGAAGCTCCCATGTCCGCCTTCGCGGTGTTGGCTTCCATGCCCATGGCCAGGTCCAAAATGGACTCTCTTGAAGAGACGAACTGCCTCTCGTTCGCAGGCTCCATAGTCCTCGGTCTCGACGCCAAGGGTGGTCTCCAACATCTGTCGTTGAAGCTCGGAGAGAGCAAGCTTTTGCTTGAAGAACCATGCCTGCTCGCTAGGGTCCACAGTGATTCCTTCGGCCTTCATCTCACCGATCAAGGTCCTGTACCGAAGAGCGAAATTCGGCACACTCTCACTGCCACCTCGACGAAGCTGCAAGTAGTACTTCTCCCGAAGCTCACCCTTGCGGTCTGTCTGTGACCTCCCAACCATGTCATCCCAGGAGGCCAAAATCTTCTGGATTCCGGCGTCGTAGACCGCGGGTGAAATCTCGATCATCTCATCGGTCTCATCATCCTTCACCCTTTCAGCTGGAGTGTATTCAAGTTCCTTCGGGTCGAACTCCAGCGCACGTAGCTTTGCACTTCCTTTCTGCCTCATTGCGAAGCGGGCAGCCAGGTTGTAGGAAGTGGTCTTCTCTAGGTCGATTGAGTGTAGCCACCACTGGACGGATTTCTTGAACTCTCGAAGCGTCTCGCTCCGTCCATCCCAGACCGGTATGTAGCTATCAAAGCCTCGGTCATCCTTCTTCTCATCACTCATCTTCTCCGTCTCGATGTCCACGATGAAGTGGTCCGCCACCAGGCAACCTTCAATCCCTCAAAAGGGAGAGGCTTTACGCCACCAGGAAGTCCGTGTCCAGGTCGTCCGCGTTGTAGCTCAGACGTAGTCCAGACCACGAAGTCGAAGTCGTCCAAAAGCCAGGCCAGCACGGCCAAGTTGGGCGAAGCAGCCCAACACGCAAGAAGTTGAGGCCAGCAGGCCAAAGGCAAAGTCCGTCAGCACGAAGAAGACGTTCAAGCTCTAGCGAAGTCCACGCAGGGCAGCGCTATGGCGCAAGGGTCGACAGCTCCGCTACCACTGTTAAACAGCGGAGGTTCAACTACACCTAAACAAGGGGTAAAGAACGCTCGCAGACTGTTTTGCACGGAGCCAGAATGCTCAAGGGCCCTGCGGCACCAACAGTGAAACAAGTCCGAGGGTCATGACTGCCTTTTCACAAAATCTCATACACAATATATAATACATATAACTGCCACACTTCCCCCGTAGCACGCCAAGACCGGTCCCCCTGCGGAATTATAAAGTTATTCGGGAGGGCAACGTTCTTTCTCATTCCATGGTATGCTCCAGTCTTTTGTCATCCTTTCTTCACGTTTCCTCTTGGGCGATCTGTCAAGTTGAGCAAACCTTCACGTGAAGGGTTCAGTACATATATATTGGATGTGCATGCTGGATTGTCATCTTGCCCAAATATTGCACATAAATTGAAACACGTTAATGATACGCCAGGGTCACCCCTGATCAATTTAGCTAAGGGACCCAGTGTGTGAAATCCTTTGCCCAAGCTGAGCCAGCTGATCGGTACATATGCCAAACCCATGAGTCGTGTCTACCGGTGACCAAGGTCGGCGACCCAAAAGGGTGCGTTCCGGGCGTTTCTCTTTAAGCAAAGGACCAATTCCCGAACCATCCGTGGGACTAAAACCCATTTATATACCTATACTGATACTGTTTTACCTACATTGACCCTGACAACATCTCAAAACCATCATAATTGTTTGTGCATATGTAGTAATTATATTCATATTCCATGCATGGATTACACGACCAAAGGGGATGGAAGGCCGTGGGAGGTGACACAACTGCTGCAAAAGGAAGGCTTCACACATCGAGCCTCCAAAGCAATGACTTGCAAGGAGAGTGCAACAAGAACACAACTAAAAACACACTGTTTGGGCGCAGTTTTGTGCCCAAGAAGTTTCAGTTGACCTCGGATGAATCATATCATGTCCCACGGAATTGGTCAAACGTCTTGAAACCATCTTGGTGGTTTCTTCGACCCAGCTTCGGTGGCTTTTCATCACGTTTCCCCCATCTCAGGGATCCTCCCACGCTCGGACCTGAAGCCATTGGACCTGCAAGCTGCTACGTCGGACCAAGGTCAGCTCGCGACCCGAGCCTCAGCAGTGGGCAGGTCACCTGGTCCTGAACACCTCATGTTTGTGGTGTTTTTGTATGATCGCCTCCACTGACATGAGGTCAGTTACTGAATTGTAGTGTAGGGTTTTCATCTGACGGTCAAAAGCTGAAACCTGGTCAGAGAGGGAGATATGATTGACTATACTTGCATGGGTCCACCGGTTTGTTAAAAGAAGAGCCGTTTAAGTGCGGAATAAATGCCGTTTCAGAGAGTCATTTCAAACCTCCATTCTCTTCAACACAAGAACTCAAAACAAACGCTGCTGAAATGTTGCGCACCATTTCAGGAAAGCTCGAAAGCGCAGCCGATCATTTTGCATACTGAGGAAAAATGCAGGTATCATTATCATAGCTATCGAACGATTAAGTGGGCTCATCATTCATCGATCAGGAGCTTTCACCCTGTGAGGAGGTTCATATTGGTTTCCAATCACATCCACAGCTGGAGCGCTTGGGTCTGCCTGCATTGACGGAGGCCCCATAGAACATGGTCCAGCGATCCTAGCATCCCTTTAAAGTGACAAAAAGGATCAAAAAGGTCCCGTGGTCGACTCTTTTTTGGGGCTGAATCTTCAGAAATGCCAACATTCGCAGTATACAGCATCGTGCAGGACCAAAATGGAACTGGGGATTCTGCGGGTAGGACATCAATCCGTTTGGCGCCTAGAGCTTTTATAAAAGGTGAGGAACAGGCTTCCATGACAAACATTGTTGGTTTTTGAATGACAACTCGACGTTCCGGTTTTTCAATGGAAGATCCACATTAATGGAAAACAGTTGTTCAATGAACAGGTCTGACTGGCCTTTCAATGAATCACCGGCGGTCTTTGAACCCAAGCTATATAAGATCTTGCAAATTCACAGAACTTCACACGACTCAACAGGTCTTCACAGGGTTTTCAACTGGTACAAAATCAATATGTGGGAAAATCGAAACATCGATAGGCCCGATAGGCTTCCAGGCAGAAAAAACAATATGGGTGTTCAAAAGAGAAACCGGTTTTGCGTTTGAGACATACGATATGACAGGGATCCTCCGTTTGGCAGGGCACAAAAGTGCCACGGATCACGGAAAGGTTAGCCAACGAGCCTATGTGCCGCAGCCTGGCTGTGCAGCCTTTTTGCGCACCTACCGCGGTCCACGTTTCATCACAAACTCGCACATCCGTATACCTCCCGCGGTCGGACCGTTTCTCGCTGTGGGCTCGCGCTGTTCAGGAGCTGCTCCGTGGAGAAGAGCTCCGTGGAGTTCAGGAAAAGGCGCTGCTCCACCGCAGCGATGCTGCAGTGCTCCTGGAGGATTCGCCGGTGGAAGGGACCGACGAAACGGGTATGACTGAAGTGGAGACGTCACGTGCGGCATGCCGTGATCTGGCAAGTTGAAGGTGCTGGTAGGTGGCCCCAGGTGTGTTCCTTTCTCCAGTGATCGCCGGCATGAAGTGATTTGCTGGCTGCTTCAAATCGGCGAAGCGTCCCAAACAATGGGCTGGTTTGCTCAAGTCACTGGCACCATCTTGCACCTTCGAGTCCAAAGCCGTATTTACAAAGGTATAGTTGCTTTGTGTAACTGGTCAGTGGCTGCCTACATAAAGGATTTTGCTAGTTTGGTCTTCCTCTACATTGATATATAAGTACAATCACCGATTGGATGACCCAATGCAGTTCTTGTCATCTCGGTCGCGGCAAGGTAACAGCAACAACACCAACAACTTAACAGTCGTGCACATTTCTATACACTGAGTTGCTGCAGTGCACTACCAGAGTCCTAAGCTCTGCAAAAGAAGAAGGTCTCCTCAATGGTCGTCTTGAGATCTTGCACGCTGAGCCTTGTCAATCGGACGGGCGCCAAAGATCCGGTAAGAAGGGCACGGCGCCGCAGCGAGGATAGGTAGTTTGCCTTTGGAAGGAACAGCCTGAAGAGTTGTGTCAAATCGGGACATGGAGGATTTTTTTAAAGATCCATTGGTTGCGGGGCCGCATTCTAGATGCAAAGCCAGTTGAGTCCTTCTGTTCATTGGTCGAATCAAGGAATCCCGAAAAATGGCTCCAAAGACCTATTGCGGCCAGTCCCAAACAGGTCGATGCGACCTGGGTCCATAGGGTATGTGCAAGCTGCTTCCGACCTTAAACATCATAATCCCAGATGCTCCATGTATGGAATATTTACCTACATTGACACCTGAAACCACCCCAATGTATGTAAATATGTCATACATGGAGTGTCTGGGAACTACATATCTCAGGATCACTCTTTCCGACCACCCAATCTTCGGATGAATCACCACTGTTCCACCACCGTCGAAGTGCCAGTTAACGGCAAGGCAGGCAGGCTGACAAGAACACTGCGACCCCCACGTGCGACCCCCAGTGTCCTTGAGCAAAGAGCACTGCCATGATTTGAGAAAACCGCTGCAACAAAAGGTTGCTATCTTCCACTGTCAGACGTGACCCTTTGATACTCCCAAGTGTCCAGGAGGTCACTTGAACAATCGATCATTCGATGTATCCTTGACCCACCGCACCATACCGCACCCATTTCCGTTCCAGACCTCAGCCGCCGCTCCCACCCTTCCGGACCTCTGTCGGCGGTTGAGGTGGAGATGGCAGAGATGTCCTGCTAGACCATTGACCTCGACCTCCAAGAATTCGGGCTCCATCGCTGGGAATCTCGGAGAATCTCATCGGCGCGTGAAAAACGGGGGCGAGGAACGAGGGGTTGGTGGACTTGGATGTACTTGGTGGATTGAGAGTAGATGGCACAGACCCCAATGTCAGTGGTTTATATGGACCCCCATCTTAACTGCAGGGTCGAGGTCGTCGCCCCGCCTGTCCGCTTGGGACCCCGTGTTGCGGCAACCCAGGGCCGACACATGAGGGATGCGTCACATAAGGTGTACTTGGTGGACGTTTCAGGTGGCCTTTCGATGCCTCAAAGAATTGGTTCCAAACGAATTAAATGGTTCCAAAAAAACAACGCCGCAACAAGTGGAAACCGTGGACACAGTGATGTTCGATTTTTTTCCTGAAGATTGGATCTCATCTGCTCATGGAAGGACACCCAACAGCAACACCGCCACCCCGGCCGGGAATGGCTCTGTGAGCCAGGACTGACGGCGAAGTGAACCAAAGCACCTGGACGAGCCTTGACTCCACTTCAAACGCCCCGGTCACAGCAGGGGGGGGCCAACACGAGGAAGCAAAGAGTTCATCACCAGGGTGGTGGGGCTGGATGTGCCCTGACAGCACTAAACAACATCGACTATGATGGTCTATACATATATATATATATATACATTGCGCAAGTTTGATTCCAACCACCTTATTATGTATTGGCCTTGTGTTTCACAAATCTGTCAAGAATCATGAGACATTGAGATCAACATCAGTATCGCAAGGGGTGCTTCTTTCAAAATGCAGCTGGAGAAAGATTGAAGAGTTCATACCCAAACGCCAAACACCCCATTAAATCCATTGGGACTGGCATATCAATCTATAATATATTTATATATTTATGCAACAACATACTATTTCATTCATGGACCCTTGCAAGACAATTTAAACAAAGTTGACCTGGTTGGTCTCAACTCCTTCAAACAAGCCGTTAAAAAGTAGTTCAAACCCTTGAATCAATGGCAGGCCTAGGGTTGCCGAGGGTGGAGTCTGTGGTACCACATGCAGTTCATCCACGGCATGCTCCATCGGTGCTCAATCGATGAGGCATCACCATGACATCAAGCGACACCGAAACCATCCATGGGACTGGAAGAGCTACCTATAATGTTAACTTACAGTGTTACATGATGTAGACTCTTGATTCGCACGTTTGAATCCATTTGGATTGTGATGTCAAACCTCTTCATATGAAGCCGAATGAAGAAATACACACCAAGAGTCTACATGGCCTTAGGTCATCGTGCAAATGTCTGATGGTCTGTGACAGGTGAACCTGCAGGGCACTCACAACTGGAACCGCACCGTGCAGCTCAGTCCGCCGTCGAAACCGTCCCGGGCTCGGTGCCACGCCACCGGTCTCTGCTGGTCGTCATGTCGGTGGAACCCGTCCCCGGGCGCCCGGGCACCGGCCACGTCCCGGGCAACCAACGGAAGTCGAAGCATCGAAGGATCTGAGGACACTCCTGGTGGGGTCACTCCCACAACATGCAAGTACCGCGTCAAGGAGACGTACCAGGCATCTCAAAAAACACATCCAGCTCCCCTTGTGTTCTCAAGAGATTGCGGCTAATGCACATGCTCCCCTGAAGGCTTGAGTAAACCCATCGGAAGGATGGTGACCTTGCTGGGCCATTTGGCCAGCCTGAAAAAGGAGGACCGGGAGAGACCTCAGGGAGGGGGAAAGCGGAGGGACTGGCTGCACCAAGTGATCACCGAAGAAAGCTCTCCTGGCTGAGGGTCATCAAGAGCTCAGCCTCCTCTTGTGCCTTGTCTGAGGCCACCTGGTCAAGGGTCAACAAGGGCAAAGGGTCCATAGTGGTGTCGTCTTCTGTTTATGAAAGGTTGTTCCACCATGTTGTTCACACACCATGAAGCTCATCCCAGGCAAAGCAACCATTGATAAAGCGCAATCATGACCAACATTCATGCGTTCAAAGTCTATTCTCGCACAAAACCAGGTCAGGTTGCACTCAAAAGGGTGAAGAATCCCAGTGCTGCATGGGGTGAAGAATGCCAGTTCCAACAACTTCAGGGCGCAGAATGCCAGTGTAGCATGGCTTGCAGCTTGAAGAATCCCAGTTCCAGGTGGGAATTCTCCCAGATTGATTGAACAAGCTTGGCAACTCTATCTTCTTCAGCGTCCGAGGGAGCGCCCTTAATCGACGCGCCGCGACGAAGAGTCGCTCGCGCCTCAGAGAGCTGACCCACGAGCGGTGCCTATCCGAGCGCAACGCCCCGACTTCAGTGACTGTCAGTCTTGGTGCAGCTTCCTATAAGGAAGTACTGAAGGACGGGACCTGCAGGGTACTTGGAGGGGGGGTTTTGCACAGGACAGCAGAATGGCGGCCCTGTGGAAGCAATCTGTCCATCAGTCAGTACCCCGGTGGATGCCATGTGTGGGAGACAACTCAGTTGCAGCTTGTGAATGTTGCAACTCAAGGCCTGCAATATGGCTGTTGCAAGCAATTTTAGGCGACAACATGAACATACGAGTATCAGTATTATTCTGCATAGACAATGATGAATGTTGTTATAAAGAGAGAGAGTGTGTGTGTGTGTCACGTAAAGTTCAAACCCACAAATCAAATGGCCGTCATTGGCTCACATGTTCATATACACCTACCAAGGAAACAAAAGAATGAAACTACAGAGTATGCTATATATATATATGTCTTTTTTTCAGGGGTTGATGTTGTCGCGGATTGTTTTAGCAATGACACCGTTGTTGAGATGTTGCATCCAACAGGGTCCCAGTTGATTTCAACGATTTCACCCACACCGAAAGGGGCCACCGTTCCCCGTCGGAACACCGGCCCGTGACTTCAAAACAAGCTGCGCGCTTCAGTGCCACCAGTTGAGACGACAAAGCCTTGGTCCCACCGAATCGGTCCCGAGCAAGTTCAGACATGTGGAGACTCAAGGGGATTCTGGGATGAGGGTGAGACATCATCCGAATCCTGGCGGAGAACAAAAATCGCTTGATAGGTCCAATTACCTTCTCAGAAGGTCTGTGGATCCATACAGTGACACGACCTGGCAGGATTTAGAGCCATCGATCCACACATGGCCCGGGGCGTACGAACCCCACCTCGATGCAACGAATCGCCACGTGGCCCGGGTGTCACGAACCCTCGCAGCAAGTACCTCGCAGTACCGCACGCCCTGGAGAAAGGAAGTTACGGCCCCGTAGACCGACTCGGACGACCAGGAGGTCCGAAGATCAAACAGGACGACCATGGCGCGGCCCCCTTGGGGACACAATGGAGGAAGCAATGGAAGCGGCGGTTTGGAGCGTGCCAGGTTTGGAGCGAAGTTCTGCCCACGACTTTCTTATACAGCATGCTTGGACATAAATAGTAGCCATGGGATTCCGTACCTGGACCTCGCCCCGTGCACCGTCGAAGACCCGCAAGATCTGAGATTTATGCAGCGGGATCTGGAAGAGTTACACTTACCTCCATGATCCTCCATGAACATGATTCTTGATGCCTGCACACTTCTTCTCGGGCAGTCATTTTGGCAGAAATTAGTATGTGCTTAGGCGTTCTTGCCCCCTGCGTAATTATTCTTCTATGCATGGATGGTCTGGAACTATACATTCCATGCTCCGTGCAAGACGGTCCGACCAGAGTTGTCCTCGCATTGGCACACACTTTCTCGAGAAGGGCTTTCGGGCCTTGCGTGGTGAAAACCCCGTCGCCGCATCTTTCTTTGGCCGGAGCGAATTCACCGGCAGGCGGCTTGATGCTATGGTCTTGGATGGGCAAGCTCAGGTCGTGGGTGTGCAGTGTTCCAACACGCGCACGCCGCTCCCGCGGCGTGCTTAAACCTGACTCATCAGCAACGGGCAAAAGCCTGCAAAAGCCGTTACTTGCTTCCCAATAGAGCTTGAGTTACTTACTCTCAGTTAGGATCCGTCCCATTTGAGTTACTTGCTCTTTTGTTCCAAGAAGCGAAACCTGAACTGGCACGGATCCTATGCTGAGCTAGGATTCGGATGCGGAGCCAGTAGCTCATCATTCGATTCAACAACAAAGGATACATCCAACAACATCCGCAGCACCTCGTGCCCATTATTGCCCATACCAAGTGTGAGACGAGACCGGCACGTGCCGGTTTTTCTTGAGGTGGGTGACTTACGCCCAAGTTCTTCACATCCCTGTGATCATCGAAATGAAGTATCTTCACCTTGATTCATTAATTTCATCTTTGCAGCTTCGCGAGCTTCACCAGGCATGCTGGCATTTTGTTGCCACTAAACGTCTGTGAGACCTTTGTACAAAAGAAGCTCCTGGGACGTGGCGTCTGTGGCTCAGGGGTCTTCGGGCCAACGATCACATAAGGGTGGATGGCCAAAGATCTGGCATGTATGCAGCGTATGCATGATACAGGGGGGCAAGAGACCCACATAGAACCCGAAAAGACCGAAGGCGATTTTTCCCTTACGACCCGACGTGGTTTTCAGGTTCCATGTGGGTCTCGGATCTCCAAAAAGCATCCCCACCACTCAGCCCTGCTTGGGCAGGTTCTTGTTTGGTGATTCGTTTCTCCAACATGGCCAACAGGGGCAGTCGAAAAGGAACTAGTGTGGTGGGTTAGGCCGGGCTAGGTTAGGCTCGGTCGGAGATGATTTGACAGCATCCTTTGGTTTGTGACTGATCCACTGCGACTGCGACTGCTCTCATGCAAATGCTCACGCCTGCTAGTTGATCCACACAAACACATCCTTTAAAGCACATCTTTGGACAATTTGGCAACATTGCCCAGAAAAAAAAGAAACACTATCGCAAGGCCCTTCTTTCGTGTCTGCCTTCGTCAAGAAGACCATCCATGTATGAAATATAGGTATACCTACATGTGGGCCATGTATGATCCCTACCAATTACCTAGGGGGGGCGTCACCTAATTGTAAGTTACAATTTCCTAGGTTTGATACCTCAAAAATTGTAACTTACAATTACTAAACCACCTCAAAAATTGTAACTTACAATTTTGAGGCATCAAGGTGGGTCA